AGACTGGACAGCCACTTGTCTGAAATGCTTGTTCAGGAAGTTGGACTAGATTTTCCAAAGCGCCTGAAGGCAGGACAAGAAGCAATGGATGGAAACTAACCAAAGAGAGAAGCAACCTAGAACTAAGGAGAAACTTCCTGACAGTTAGAACAATCAACCAGTGGAACAACCTGCCTCCAGAAGCGGTGAATGCTCCAACACTGGAAGTTTTTAAGAAGAGACTGGACAGCCTTTTGTCTGAAATGGTATAGGGTTTCCTGCCTGAGCAGGGGTTGGACTAGATGACCTCCAAGGTCCCAACTTTATCATTATTATTATTATGATAATAATACTGTTCAATAATCTAGATGACTTCCAAGGTCCCTTCCTATTCTACATTCTATATGTCACCTTACAACCAGTTCCAGAATCCTTGAATTCTGCTTTGAAATGCAAGGAGTTCTTTGTTTAAAAACATCCAACGCATGGAAGAAAAAAAGAGGCATGGTAACCCAGCTGGATTTGAACCACTCATTATGATCTCATTACTAGAAAATAGATTAATAGATATTTTTTTTTTTAAAAAAAGGGTTTTATTATAGGGTGGGTTTTTAAAATTTTGTAAGCCGCCTGGAGTCATCTATTTGTGACTTGGGTGGCTATATCAATTTGTCTGATAAAGAATTAAATAACAGCTCATTAATAGAAAGCTCATTTTTTTCATAAAAAAAGAGAACACTTTCCCATAGGGTCAAAAATTCCACAAAGAGCCTCAAGCACGCCACGAGTCGCATGGTTTTACACTCTCTGGCTGGTTAGTCATAAACCTGCCACTGGTCCAGGTCTAAGTAACCCTAAGAACTATAGCCAGACAGATAAACTATGAATAGGCTATCATATCATCTCTCTCTTAACCACAAACCTAATTTAGACGTTGCAGTAAGTCCAACGGCTAGATGGTTTAGCATATCATCTGACTAGTGTTTCAAAAAAGAAGGATGTAGTGGTCTCTGAGCTTGGCTGTTTTGTTGCAGACGTCTCATTACCCAACTAGATAACATCATCAATGCTAGAAGAGAGTGGGATGTGCAGAGTGAAAGAGGAGGACCATGGGGTCCTGGATGCTCTCTGAGCTTGGCTGTTTTGTTGCAGACATCTCATTACCCAACTAGGTAACATCATCAGTGCTAGAAGGGAGTGGGATTTGATCTCTGTTTAAATACAAGTGGCTTGCTCCACTCGCTTCTAGCACTGCTGATGTTACCTAATTTGGGTAATGAAACATCTGCAAGAAAATAACAAAGCCCAGAGGGCACCAAGGACCCTTCATTTTGACCATGAGCCACAAATATTCTCCTTAAAAGAATGATGTCCTAGTTCAGTGATGGCGAACCTTTTAGAGACCGAGTGCCCAAACTGCAACCCCAAACCCACTTATGTATCGTCGGGTGCCAGGTGGGTGTGGCCCATTGGCTGGGTGTGGCCCATTGGCTGGGTGTGGCCCATTGGGTGGGTGTGGCCCATTGGGTGGGTGTGGCCCATTGGCTGGGCAAGGCTGCCGTGGTAACGGCAGACTGGGTGGGACTAAAAAGTTCAATCAATCAATTCCAACTTTGCAAGATCTTTTTTTTCCCCGCGAGAAGTTGAAATTGACTGATTGATTGGACCTTTTTTTTTTTTTGCACATGGCAGCGGAGGCCTAAAGCGAAAATGTTTTATAAAACCCAGCTGAAGGCCTAGGAGTGGGCGACGGCGCGCGTGCCCACAGAGAGGGCTCTGAGTGCCGCCTCTGGCACCCGTGCCATAGGTTCGCCACCACTGTCCTAGTTAATTTTGTTTTCCGAAGCAGACGAAAGCTCTTCCCAAAGCTTATTTTCTAAGTGCTGGGAAGAGAAAATCCTCCCAGTTTATTTTTGTTCTTGACATTCTAGCCTGCTAGAGATTGTGGTTTGATATGTTGTTTGTTTGTTCTTAAAAAGCTGCAGCTCCAATTTTTTTTTCCTCCATCAGCCTCTCCTTGTCAACATGGCTTTTATATATTAGATTTTTTTTTTCAAATTTCTTCAACCTGCAGGCAAAGAAGGATTCATTTCTTTTGCGTTTCTTTCTGGGTCTGGTGACTGCCTGAAGATGAGATATTGCTTTGTTGTCAGTAAATAAATGATTTCTGACCATTTAGATAAGCTGGATAAGAAAAACAGAAATACGATTTTGCAAGAAATCAGCTGCCGGTCAATAAAACGTATAACATGTAAGTGATAAAAGGCAGGAGTGGCATTTTGCTACCTTAAAACACCACATTGCTACCTGGTTCACAAGGCTAAGAACTTAAAAATAGATATAGCAGGACATTAGATTCTTATTCAATGTAAATCTTTAAAAACCCATGAAGGAGCAGGGTTGATTTCATCCCAAATATGGATTACAGCTTAGGACCAGGGGAAAATTTGGGAGAGTTTGGCTTTAGACCTCGAAATGAAAGGCAAGATTCAGGGTTGAGATAACAACCAAGAGACAATCTGTAACAAGATTGTCTAACTTACCAGATTCTACAATATTATTCTCCTTATCAAGCTGGCAACTTGATAGCCACCGAAGAAATCAACCCTGGATGTTAGAAATTCTCCCCCCCCCAAAAAAAAGTCCAATTACCAAAGTTGTTGGAAGACATAATTACAGATTTTTTAAAAACACCTTCTTATCGTCTACTAAGACTACAAGTAACCTTCGACTTACAACAATTTGTTTAGTTACAACGGCACTGGAAAAAAAAAGTGACTTAGGACAGTTTGTCGCGCTTGTGACCCGTTGCGACATCCCCATGGTCAAGAGATCAAAATTCGGACTCTTCAGACTCATATTTATGATGGTCGCAGTGACCCCCTTCTGTGGCCTACTGACAAGCAAAGTCAGTGAGGAAATCCAGATTCGTTTAACAACCAGGTTACACGCTTAACATCTGCAGCGATTCACTTACCAAGAGCTGCAAGGAAGGTGGTTTAATTGGGGCAAAACCTCCCTTAACCAACGTCTCACTTAAGAACAGAAATGTTGGGCTGTAGCCGTAGGATGGGGAGAGGGGGTCAAAATGGTAGCAGCGGGATGTCCCGCCCGTGTCATTGTTGGCTGGACAAGGGGAAGCTGGTTAGCGAGGGGGAAGGAGTAAAAAGGCGAGTCTTGAGGCGGCTGTGGATGAATCGGAAGGCAAGGAAATAAATAATAAAGCAGACATCGGGAAATAAGTAATGCTAAACAGATGCCAGGAGGCATCGCTCTGACTTTGAGGTTCCAGTCTTAAATAAACACCGTTCAGAAAAGCTCTTTGAAGTTGGGAGGCAGTAAATAAGCGCGGGGAGGTCTTGGTGGCGACAGTTTATCATCCTAGATTTAAAAATAAAAATAAAAAATGAAAAAGTTCAAAGAAGGAGAGGTTGTCACTTACTTTGAGCCTCTCCCCCCCCCCACCCCGCTCGGCGAAGAGATACAAATTCAGAAAGAGGGAAACCATCTGGAAACCAGCAGACTGCAAAAGAAAGAGTTCTTTCTGCATTGGGAACTTTATTTCTACAGGATCCTATTCTGCTTTAAGGTTTCTGTTGACTTTTAAAATAGGAACGCGCACCAGATGTTCCTTTTTTCCCCCCATCTAAAAAAAAAAAAAAAGACTACCTAACGAGAGTTTACAGTGAAAATGATTTCAGATTGTGTGAATTCTGTGGGTTGCAGAGGAGTGGGGAGTAAGTCCAAACAATCAAAATGGAGGCTATAAATGGTGTGATCCAGGTTAAAATCTCCCCCCCCTCATAATAACCGACCATAGTAGCTTACGTATAGAGAAGATGAGTCTTATGTCTCTTTCAGAATAAACAGATAACTGGGGAGGGTGTCCCAGATGGGGCTTCACAGACCAGACACATCCCCAACGATCTTCACAGATTGCACCAAAATATAATTTTTAGTGTAGCAGAAGGGAGATAGGATTAAATATATGACTAATGAATTACTAGTGAGTCAGTGTGATGGAATGATGAAGGTGTTGGACTGCAGCTGAGGACATCCAGATTCTGGTCCAGCATCAGAGATGGAAGCTGACTTAGAGATAGTCTCTTTCTCTCTCCATCTATATGTTTGTCTCCATCCAACCATCCATTTCCTTCCATAATCTACCTCTATCCATCTCTGTCTGTCTGCTTTCTGTCTGTCTCCATCCATCCATTCATCCATCCATCCACACTCTACCTCTATCCATTTCTCTCTCTCTCTCATCTGTCTCCATCCATCCATTCATCTCCATTCATACTCTACCTCTCTCCATCTCTCTCTCCATCCATCCACCCATCCACCCATCCATCTCCATCCATACTCTTACCTCTATCCATCTCTCTCTGTCTCTCCATCTATCTGTCTTCATCCATCCATCCCCCTCCATAATCTACCTCTATCCATCTCTATCTCTCCATCCATCCATCTCTATTTATACTCTACCTCTATCCATCTCCATCTATCAGTCTTAATCCATCCATCCATCCATCTTCCTCCATAATCTACCACTATCCATCTCTCTCTCTCTCCTTCCATCCATCCATCCATCCATCNTCTCACCCCATTAGTCAATTCCTCTACATTAGTCAGGATCAGACAACCATTAACCAGGGAGCAGAAGGGGAAGAAAAAGCTAGTTTGTCAAAACATGCTATTTTGAAAAACTTGGAGGAGTTTGTGGATCTTACTCTTCCTCATCTTTGTGACTTGAAGCAGGGTAGGGTGTGTTTCCTTTTATGTATAAATAGGGAATGCATGAACCAGGAGAAACACGACATTCGACAAACAAAACAGTTTAAATTCCCTGAGTCTTGACATGGTGTTTAGGTAGTTAGATGATATGCCGTTTCCATTTTTTCATCATATCATGATTATTTATTGACTTAAATATAGAGAGAAATTTATCTATCTATCTGTTTATAGATCTCTCTCGCTGCAGCTTCCTCTTCAGCCCAGCCCACCCTTCACCCAGCCGGTCCTCAGTTCTTGTGGCTGATTTTCTGCTTGTTCGAAATATAAGGGAGAATCGTCTGAGTACTTTTGTCCGACATGGTCTGGGTGCTGCTGTTCCGTGTCAGCTTCCGGGCTTGGCCACTATCAAGATGAGGGGACCGTCGCAATGCCGTCTTGGCCACTAACACCCCCTTCTGAGTTGTCTCGTGGGGCTCTTCCGGAGGATCGTCCGGAAGGGGCCCGCTGTCCGCCTCCTCATCGTCATCACAGCACAAAGCGTGGTAGAGGACTTTGTCACTAAAACGCACCCTCTCCCTGGTGCCCGGCGTCCTCTGATGCTGAGGTTTGTGACTTGGTACGGAGCTGAACGCTTCCTCGCTGGAAGAGTCTGGGGTTTCAATCCGGGGTCCATTGGAGATCAACACCCCACCATTCATGAGCTGGTAATCAGGCTGGTGCCCTGGTGGCTGCTGTGGCTGTGGCTGTGATTGCTGCTGCTGCTGCTGCTGCTCCGAACCATCACCCGAATCGGAAGGGGTGGAGGCCTCAAGGAAGGAGCAAAATTCCCAGCTGTCAGAGAGGATGTCTGAGGTCATGAAATCCAGGTGCCCAAGGTCAAATAGGCCTCCCCCTTTCTCACTGCTGGAGGTACTGCTCACCGTGGTGGTGGTCCAATCGTCTGGCTCCAGTTCAAACTCAAAGTCCGAGGTCAACTTGTCAATCTGGCTGACCACCTAATGGGCAGAGAGAAAGAGGAGGTGGTTAAGACCCACAGAATATCGTTGGTCATCTCCGTAAACAATGTTTTCGCCCGCTTTAAGTCTATTTCAACACGGCCTCCCTACAGGGCCACTCCACGGAGAGGCTCCTCGACAACCGTCTGCGAGGCTGAGATTTCAAATCAATTTAATTTCAGGTATTTCAATGTAGGGGCCACATGATTCCAAACAAGCGCCAGAAGCTTTGGACCAAAATTCTTCTTGTTGTTGCTAATAGCCCTTTTGGCCAGGCATCACGGGACCTGTAGTTCAATTTGTTCAAAGGGAAGGGGCATCAGGTTGGAGAAAGCTCATTTCATTAAAAAAAAACAACACACCCATCTTCAAGCTTAAAATTCAGATGAAGTCTGAAAGGTAAGCACTAATAAGGCCTCAAGAAAAACCATCCTACTCTTTATTTCCTCCATTTAAACTATTAATTTGGTGTAGGGTTAAGGTGCTGCCCTAGAAACCAGGAGACAGAGAGTTCTAGTCCTGCCTTAGGCATAAACATTGGCTGGGTGGCCTTGGGCCTATCACCAGGAGATGGAGAGTTCTAGTCCCGCCTTAGGCATGAAAGCCAGCTGGGTGAATTTGGGTCAATCACCAGGAGATGGAGAGTTCTAGTCCTGCCTTAGGCATGAAAGCCAGCTGGGTGACTTTGGGCCAATCACAAGGAGATGGAGAGTTCTAGTCCTGCTTTAGGCAGGTATGCTGGCTGGGTGACTTTGGGTCAATCACAAGGAGACTGTGAGTTCTAGTCCCACCTTAGGCATGAAAGACGGCGGGGTGACTTTGGGCCAATCACCAGGGGATAGATCTAGTCCTACTTTAGACATGAATGCCAGCTGGATAACTTTAAGCCTGTCCCTCTCATTCAGCCCAGCCCACCTCACAGGGTTGTCGTTGTGTGAAAAATAGGAGGAGGAAGGAGTATTAGGCATGTTCACCACCTTGAGTTCCTTGTCAAGTGATAAAGGCAATTATAAAAATGAAATAAATAAATAAAAAAGTTTCCCTCAAATTATATTTGGATTGCAACACTCAGTTTTTAACCAGACAGCATATGGCAGTGATGGCGAACCTTTTAGAGACCGAGTGCCCAAACTGCAACCCAAAACCCACTTATGTATCGTCGGGTGCCTGGTGAGTGTGGCCCATTGGGTGGGTGTGGCCCATTGGGTGGGCATGGCTTTGGTAGTAACGGCAGACTGGGTGGGACCAAAAAGTTCAATCAATCAATTCCAACTTTGCGAGATCTTTTTTTTTTCCCGCGAGAAGTTGAAATTGACTGATTGAACCTTTTTTTTTTTTTGCACACGACTGCGGAGGCCTAAAGCGAAAAGGTTTTATAAAACTCAGCTGAAGGCCTAGGACTGGGGCAACGGCATACGTGTCCACAGAGAGGGCTCTGTGTGCCACCTGTGGCACTCGTGCCAGAGGTTTGCCACCACGGGCATATGGCACTGTAGTCCTAGCGCATCGGATGACATCTAGAGTCCATCGCGAAAAGCATGACCTTCCCAGCCTTGATTCACGGTGGTTAGTCCATCACTTTCCCTTTTCCCCACCCCCTCCAATCCTGGGACAGGACGAGAACCCCCCCCCCTTGTGAGGGATAACTCAAAGCCACGCCAGCCTTGTGGCTTTCTAACCAGCCTTCTCCCGCTCTCCAGCATACGGCGACCACGGGAGACGTAAGGTCATGCAGAGCTGATGGCTTTTTAGAGCAGGAGTTAAGCTTCCGACAATCGCTTTGAGCCTGCCCAGACCAAATTCATTTTGACCATGAAGAATTTCTTTTTGGGAAAATCTTGTACGCTTTCAAGAGGAGAGCAAAAAATATGCCTCCAACCTCAACATCAGGGCTTTGCTCTCTTCTTAACAAAGCGAAAAGGGAAGGGAGGCACCACGCTGACACGAAGCAATGGACACGGCAAAGGTTTTTAGTGAAAGGAGGGGGGGAAAAGTGATATATTTTAGGCACCGGCTTATTAGTACAAGATGCTTTAAGAAGCAACGTCTCTTCGTCAAGAGAATCTATTTTTTAAATGAAGGGCGGGAGGAATCAATCTCGACATTAATACTGATCATCATAGAACGCCAAGCTTCCAATAACTGATTCCTTTTCTTCTTTCTATTTGTTTTTTCTTTTTATTTTTTTTTTAAAAGCTGTGGGTTGCAACAAAATGGAAAAAAAAGAGAGAGATGAAAAGAAAAGTCGCAGCATATCACTTTCTGCTCTACCATGGAGAATATAGTTATGCAATTAACTGAAGCATCAGAGAGAATTTAAATGATAGCTACACCAGTCAAGACGAGCTAAAGGCCCCAGATGAAGAGACAGAATGCAGTTCTTCTCTAAGATTTTCATAATGAGGGCTGACCTAATCACCACTGTTATTGGCAGGGAAAGGTTCAAATATTACCAATGGAAGGGAATTCTCTTCCTCTTATTCATGTTCTTCTATTAAGGTAAATGTCCGTTGTATCTTCAGGTTCAAATATTTAAGTCAAGATGTTGAGAGTCTGGAAGAAGTGCAGAGAAGAGCAGCAAAGATGATTAGGGGGCTGAAGGCTAAAACCTATGAAGAATGGTTGCAGGAACTGGGCATCGCTAGTCTAGTGTAAAGAAGGACTAGGGATAGCATGGTAATATTTGAGGGGCTACCACAAAGAAGAGGGGGTCAACCTATTCTCCAAAGCATCTGAAGGCAAGACAAGAAACAATGCATGGAAACTAATCAAGGAGAGAACCAACCTAGAACTGAGGAGAAACAGTGGGACCAATTAATCAGAGGAATGGCTTGCCTCCAGAAGTTGTGGGTGCTCCAACACTGGAGGTTTTTAAGAAGAGACTGGACAACCACTTGGCTGAAATAGTCTAGGGTCTCCTGCTTCAGCAGGGGGTTGGACTAGAAGACCTCCAAGGTCCCTTCCAGCTCTATTATTCTGTTAAATCTGTCCCACAGACAATTCTCTAATTCCCCCCCAAGTTGAGCTGTCCATGGTACTGAAACATAATTCTCTGCAGAATAACCCCATATCCAACACCCAGAGAGTAGGAAGGTGAAAGAACAAAAATATAATTTGTGGCTGGATCTGTGAGGTCTGTCGAAACCTAACTGTGGACTGAACTGGCTCCTCTTGTGTCCATCCCTATAAAAATCTACACAAAAACAAGCGATTCAAGGAAGATGTCCATAAAAAGAGTCATTCTTTCCTAACGTGGCATTCAAAAACAGGTCTCTCTGGGAGCCCCTTGCATTTTAATACTGCATACATTAGAGGAATTTATTTAAAGGAAAAAAAAGTACCTTTAAAAAAGGCTGTTTAAAAAGGGTTCTCACAGGGATGCAGGTTACCAATACACACACACAAATATGCCGTTCTGCCTATTAAAGAAGGTCAAAAATGACAGATTGTGTCTAATGAATCTTAAAAACAATCACAGGGAGAATTCATTCCATAAAAGTCCCCAGGACTGTCAGCCCAAGTTAGAAAGGCTCTCTACATAAACCAGGATGCAAACAACCAGAGAAGTAATTTCAGAAGGGATTCATTCGCACTTCCATCTCAGCCCAGGATGATCTTTTCTGCATGGGATGGAGCAGACACAAAATCTTCTGCTAGAATAAATCTCTCTCTCTCTTTTTTTTTTTTTTAGTGCCGCAGTGATCTTGGTTGTTTCTGCAGCACTGAAACAGCAGATGGCAGATAAAAATTAACCAAATGTCAGTCTGTTAAAGTATAGATCAACTCAAAGGCACAAAATAAGGTCTGAATAACAAAGGAAGGTCTTGACCTAAATCCTACAGGGAAACTGAAAATATCTGCAAAGGTAAGAGGCCTGTTTTGAAGGCAAGGGTTGCCCACTAAGACGATTAAAAATGGTGTTGGTGAATCAAAAGGCTATGGACATCAGAAGGACGCCACTTCCAACTCTTTGAATTTATTTACACAGAACACTTGAGCAGGTCAGCTGAAACCTGGCAGCTTAACAATAAGCCAAACATGGTTACTGTTAATCTTGGGTTTTGTTAGCTGGGCTTTCTGGAACTTTTTGGGTGATCTGACTGTTGTGTGATTCTACTGAGCAAAGGTATAAATGGGTTGATCCCGTAAGTAGGTTCTGTGTGGTTGTACGCAGGCAGCTAATATCACCATTTTTTTCCCTTGCCTATGATTTGCTTTGCGTCGTTGAGGTGGTCATGCTTCTGGAACAGGCCACGTTCTCCCATACAGCTAATCAGATTCTCTGTTGTGCACTGGACAGATCAGACTAGAAGTATTGCACCCAGTTCTGGATGCAACATTGTAGGAAGGACATTGATAATGAAGAGCATGTCCAGAGGAGAATAACCAAGAGGATGAGGAACTTGAAAATGGAAAGTTTAAGAGAAAATGTTGGAAATTTAATCTAGAGAAGAAAAAATGCCAGGAGGCCTAATGGCTATCTTCAAGTATTTGAAGACTTGTCATGGAGAAGATGGGGCAGAATAATTCAGAGCTGTTCCAGAAGATAGGTTTACATTAAAACTAAACAGATTTTGGCTGGACATCAGGAAGAATTTCCTAGTGGTTCAGTGATAGAATTGATTGCCTTCCCAGGTGATGGATTTCCTTTCATTGTTGGTATCCAAATAAAGGATGGATGTCCACCTATTGAGGATGCTGTAGGAACAAATTCCTGCATTGGATACAGAATTGGATGAGATGGTTTCTAAGGTCCCTTCTGACTCATAACTTCTATGATTCCAAAACTCGTCTCATGTCCAGCCTATATCACATTTGTCAAGTGCAAACAACCAGGACCACTCATCGGTAGTCTTAAGCAGAAGCTTTACTGCCACTCACCTCTGTTACAAGAATCTCACCAGACTGACTGCATTCCCTTCAGAATGGTCAGATAAGGCTTCAAGGATTGTGGGGGAAATTCAGGCTTGTTCTGCTTTCTCCAGTCCATGGACTCTTAG